GAGCAGGGCCAGGTGGGGCTTTTGTCCGGCAAGGCTTCTGATTGGCCATGAAGATTTGTAAAAAAAATGTTGATTTGGCAGTAGCTGCCACCACAGCATAGGGACCTTCACAGTGTGACTGAAGGTAGGCCGTGGCAGCCATTTTGTGCCTGGCTCCACTTCCTGCGGCAGCCATTTTGTGGCTGCACCCATCACACTGGGTCAGAACTCCAAAGGTGCCCAGAGGCTCAAAAAGGTCTGCTCTGAATGGCACCAATGCTCCCAGGCCTCCTTAAAAAAGTACTTTCAGAACACTTGTTAGGTGATATTCTTTAACTGGAGTTGTCAGGGCTGAACCTCAAACACACAAAGTGTGTGCTCTCCCAATGGGCCACATTGAAGCATAACATACATCTGCTTCAGACCACTGGTCTACAGAGCCCGGCTCAAACACACAAAGTGTGTGCTCTCCCAGTGGGCCACATTGAAGCATAACATACATTGCTTCAGACCACGTCTACAGAGCCCAGTACCTCTTCAGGGTCTCAGGCATAGAAGAGGATTTTCCAGCATCTGCCGGCAGAGACCGGGAGGTTTGGGGGGGATGGAACCTAGAGAGGGTGGGGTCTGGGGAGATGAGGAACTTCAGTTGATAGAATGTGATAGAACCCGCCTTCCAAAGCAGCCATTTTCTCCATGGGAACTGATCACTGTTGCCTGGCGATCAGTTCTAATCCCAGGAGATCTCCAGCCACCCCCTGGAGGCTGGCAACCCTACAAGGGCAGCTGCCACAGCCACAAGCCATCAGCCCCACGCCCTGTGTTGCACAAAGACAGACAGACATGACCCCGCTGAGGCCCATGCTGGGCAGGGAAGGAAGCATGCTGCCCCGCTGAGACCCCTGACACGTGGGGAAGGAGGCAGACAGCGCCACTAAGCCACACACTGGGCAGGGAAGAGGTACACAGCCCTGCCAAGCCCCATGCAGAAGCCCAGTCAAGCCCAATGAGGCACAGGGCTAAAGAGGCAGGTTCTTTCGTCCCCCTGTGATTGTGAGGGCTGGAAACAAGGCCCTTTTCTTGGGCTCTTCCCCCCACCCCACCCGTCTGCCCCTGCAGAAGACCTCAGCTGGAGATGTCAGAGACTGACTGTAGGATCCTTCTGTATGCAAAGCAGGTGCTCTGAACCACAACCTCCTCCCTTAAATCTGCATACTTTTTTGCATATTCATAAAAAAACAACAGTTCTGAAAGGGGGACAGGACATTTTGTCCCCAGAGGCTGTGTGTGTGTGTCACCACAGACACCGTGTTCCCTCCTGTGTGTGAGATAACAGGGAACGTTCAGCTCATTTCTCGAGGGGGGTCACGGCAAGGGAGATGCCAGGGTTTGGATGGACAGAAGCTTTTTAAAAATCCCCCCCCCCCGTGTTTCCTGCAGTGGGGCAAATTAATAACTCAAGGGCAGTTTGAGGCTGGGGAAATGGCACAGGGCAAAAAAAACCCCCACCCGATTCCCCCGTCTAACTAGTTTAAAAAGATGCTAGAGATTTGATCATGAAACACTCAGCAGTTCATCTGGTTTGACTCTCACTGACGTTATAAATCTTATCTAGACTCTGCCATTTTGGGCTGCAGATGAGAGCTCAGATGATTAAGTGTTCTTCCTTTAAAAAAAAAATCCTTCCACACAGAAAACTAGTTGTCAGGAAGGGTTTTCTTTGATCTGTTAGCGCAGGGATTTTCTATATGGGGGATCCCCCCCCCATGAACCTCTAATTAGAGTTACCAGCTCCAGGCTGGGAAATACCTGGATAGTGGGCGTGGGGCCTGAGTGTGGTTGCCAACTTCCAGGTGGCGCCTGGAGATCTCCTGCTTTTACAACTGATTTCTACGTGACCAAGATCAGTTCCCCTGGAGAAAATGGCTGCTTTGGAGGATGGACTCTATGACATCATACCTGCTGAGGTCCCTCCTCTCCCCAGGCTCCACCTCCAAAATCTCCAGGTATTTCCCAACCTGGAGCTGGCAAAGCTAAGCCAGAGGAGGATGGGGTTTGGGGAGGAGAGGGACGTCAACGAGGTATAATCTCATAGAGTCCACCTTCCAAAGTAGCCATTTTCTCCAAGTTAACTGATCCAAAGATAAATGAATAAATAAAATAAATTGTAATCTCAGGAAATCTTCAGCCACCACCTGGAGGTTGACTAACCTAATTCTGGTCAGAAGGCATCAAACCAAAGTTTACCAACTCCCAAATACTGCACACCGGTTTGTAAGTCTGTATATTAAAATAAAATAAGAGTGGAAAGTACCTGTTTCCCAGTAAACTGGGGGAGGGATTTTTAATTGCTGAGCAGGGTTTTGATCCATTAATCTACCTGACTAAACGGCGTAGCCCAAGACAAGAAACAATTCTCTGGCTGTCCTAAGGGCTAGGTAACCAGGCAATCCTCCCTCCTTCACTGCCAAAACATATTTATATTAAACTGCTAAGATTGCATTCCACGTCGTAACTCAGACCAAATGGGAAAGTCTTTGCCTTGTAATTAAATTGAAGAGTCATAATCTTGTAACACCAAACCCAAGGGCTCGCTTGTTTTTACATCACTCCTGAGCACCTAACATCCATTACAAGGTCAAAAACGGAATCAGATTTAGTATCGGAAAGCCGTTAGCCCAGAAAATATGGATTGAGGATGGTCGGCAGTGTGACGCCTGTGATCGTATAATCTAGCTGATATTTTTCCTCCACACACATATTCCAGTTTGGGGGGGGATTCAAGTAATTAGGACTGCACTAGGCTCTGATCCAGGACTGCCATCTTTATTAATGGCTCAGCTTTTCTGCCCTTAACAGCAAATGGATGTTCAGCAGGTGAAAGTTTGCCTACCGTTGAGATAAAATTGTGAGGGAAATTTTTCCTGTTTAGTATCTATAAATCAGTCTATTGATTGAAAGCACAGGAGCAGAGGCAGTTAACAAGCAACATCAACCCACGAAAATCTGCACCAAGCAAAATCCTATCTCTGTCACCACTTGTGTTGAGCCCACCCTAGTGTATGAAGACAACCAAAGCTGCATTCAGATGTCCTTGAACATGTGCACCAAGCACACTGACATGAAGTATCACCTAGTGAGAGAACTGCAGGAAAAAAAGACATTGTCAAGTTGACCTACTGCCCAACAAAAGAGATGTCTGCAGATGTACTCCCTCAGCCACTTCTTAGAAAATGCTTTGAGACTCTAAGACAGAAGAGAATCTTGTAGGCTGAGCCACAAGACAGCGAAAGGGGGTGTTGGAAGTGGAGGACTTTGCACTGTCTCCTGTCTCAGACCTGAGAGATGACACCAAAGAGTTTAGACAGATAGAGAGGTCGGGAAGCAATTTTCTCCAGGCCAGTTTGACCAAGGAACCTGGAGGGTATTTTTGCCATCTTCTGGGCACAGAGCAGAGGTCACTGGGGGTGTGGGGGGAGGGGTAGCTGTGAACTTCCTGCATTGTGCAGAGGGTTGGACTAGAGGTCCCTTCTATCCAACTCTATGATTCTCTGACACATAGAGCATCCTTTCCTTCCTGCTATATGATCCTTTACTTTGAAGTAGAATGCTGCTCTTAGGGGCAATTTCCTCTGTTTCTGCTCTCTCACACTTCTCTGTCACACACTCTGACACATAGAGCATCCTTTCCTTCCTGCTATCTGATCCTTTACTTTGAAGTAGAATGCTGCTCTTAGGGGCAATTTCCTCTGTTTCTGCTCTCTCACACTTCTCTGTTACACACCCACAAAGAAGGTGCATGAATCATGATCTCTCCATCTTGCACTATGCAGGCTGGACATCTGTCCAGCATCCAGCACCATCTAGTTAGCTAGAATAGGTAATCTATAACTATCTTTTACCTGCACTCTGCAGAATGTCTTTCCCTTAATAAAATTTATTGATTCTGATTACTGACTAGAAACTTTATAAAGTCTGCTGCCACACCTAGTCCCAGCTTTGCTGCATTAAAGCCTTTGAGCACTCTGCCACTTTTCTCGTGGTTCCCTGGCAGGACCAAGTCCAGAGAATCCAACACTGAGTGATCACAACTGTGCAAAGGGTTGCCTACTTTCAAACCATTGCCCTCTTCTGTGCCTTTAAAAGCAGCCTGATGTGCAGAAAAGCTTCCGTTTCCATTCCCTGAAAGGCTTCAGCTGCATATTTCTTCCAATTAAACTGCTGTTAAAGGCACAACAACAGGCTGAACTGAGTTGTCCAACAGCTGACAACAACCCACCATAGGGGTACCAGTGTTGCCAACCTCCAGGTGGTGGCTGGAGATCACCCACTATTACAACTGATCTCCAGGTGACAGAGATTAGTTCTCCTGGAGAAAATGGCCACTCTGGAAGTTGGATTCTATGGCATTATGCCCCAAATCCCACCCTCCTCAGGCTCCACCCCCAAAATCTCCAAGTATTTCCCAACCTGGAGCTGGCAACCGTAATGGGGACCAATTCAGGGCTGGGGAATTCGTAGAGGATCTTGGGGTGTAGCCTATAGAGGACAGGGGAGGGGAAGGGACCTCAGCAGAGTATAATGCCAACCTCCCAAAAAAGCTGCTTTCTCCAGGGGACCTGAACTCTACCGTCTGGAGATCAGACGTAATTCCGGGAGATCCAGGTCCCACCTGGAGGCTGGCATCTCTAGCAAAAGGGCATCAGCAGGCCAGACCAGCAGCACGTATAATTAAGTAAACTGACAACCATTTATATTCCTGTGCCGTGAAAAGGATTCAGTGGCACAGCAGCAGGCCTGGATGCCAATCTCGTGGTCAGTTGGCAACCTCCCCATGCCATCTCCACATGTGATAAAGGCGCACAAGAGTTCTTTCCTTCCTTTCCTTTCCCAATGCAAGAGGCGAGCTGCAACGGGAAATGCACTCGGCAGGGCGGACGGCTGGAGCTGAGGCAATCCGAGCAAGCGACTCCGGCGAAACAGACGACTTCCTTCCGGGAGGCAGCAGCAGGAGGTAAGCATGCCGGCAGCGGCGGCAGAAGGAGCTTCCGAGACCCGGCCCTTTCCAGACCCCAGCAGCGCTGCCGGGATCGGGGGTCCTGGGCTGCCTGCCCTTTGCAGCGCTTTCTCTCCAGCCCCGGGCCGACTCCGCCAGGCGCATCGGGTGTCCATCAGCTCGCCTTGCGAGATTTGCATGTCATCTGCATAACCAAGCTCATGGATGCACCCCGGGACGTGCCCCGTCAGCAGAGGCGCCGATTAAGCTTCTCGTCGCCTTGACGGTGCAAAACTTCGTAATGAATGACACGCGGTCCCCCTTCGCGGGGCGCCGGCTGCTGGTAATGGGCGAAAGCCGCGTGCCAATTAAGGCGCTCGTCTGGCTGCCTGCGGGTGCGGCCGGCAACGGAGAGCGCAGCTTGGGGGAGAAGGCCTGAAGCAGCCGGGCAAGCTCCCTCCTCCTCCTCCCCCCTACTCCGGCTTCGCCTTTTCGCTCATCAAGGAGCGGGAGCGACAGTATATGGATTTTATTCCCCGAGATACCACACTAACCTAAGATAACCTTTTTATTGGTAGCTGTTAGCCATCGATACGCGGAGCCTCCACATTCAGAGGCAATGCACCTTAGAGACAAACTGGGGAGTGTTGTTTATTTTTATTTGTTTCCAGATTTATATTCCACCCTCCCCACAAGCGGGCTCAGGGTGGATCAAAACAGATAATTAGGCCATTCGGCATCACACACGAAAAAACCCAATAGTTGCTGGCAGTGTTCCCTCTAAGCTGAGTTAGTGTGAGCCAGCTCACAGTTTTTTAGCCTCCGGCTCACACATTTTTGTCTTAGCTCAGGAAGGATGCCCACAGAGCACAGTAATTTATGCAGCAGCCAAGTCGCTCTCTCACAACTTTAATGCAGTAGCTCACAATGTAGAATTTTTTCCCACAAGACTCCACAGCTTAGAGGGATTGTTGGTTGCTGGTATGCTTTTTACTTGTGGGCGTCCTGCCTGGCCTTGGTTGGAAACAGGATACTAGACAGAATGGGCCCTGTGTCTGAGGTAGCCAGTCTCTTCTTTCATGTGGTCAGGATTCCTTCATAGCTGCTACTTACTATGGCTGGTGGCTTCCCTCTTTCATGCCAGCAGGGCGCCCATCGTACCTTTAACACTTTTGCCCTTCAGGCAGAAATTCAGCAGGTGTGTATCTTGGGCATGCAATGACAGGAGAAAGCTGTAGTTGTTGAATTTCTGCCTTGGAGAAAGGAGTATAGTCGCCACTGGCTTTATCACCCTCTGTATTTAAACAGTGGCTTGAACACGTAGAAATTCAGCTGGTAAAGCCTTTGCTGTCATTGATTTCCCCACCAGGAGGACCTTTGTTTGCTTAAGTCTTCTGTCAGTCTCTTTTAGAGGTAGAGGAACAAGCCCAATAAAAAAGGTGGCAACCTTTCCCCCATGCCTTTAATTCCTCCTAAACTTTTAGCAGCAGAACAAAGTTTGAGTCTAGTGGCACCTTTAAGACCAACAAAGTTTTATTCAAGGTATAAGGTTCTGTGTGCATGGACACTTCTTCAGATATAATGAAATGGAAATTACCACTCCATACATACTGGATAGAGTGGGAGCAGTAAAGTAGCATGCAGCATAATGAAGATGTTTAACAGATTCAAGGACCAAACAGGAATAACCCGCAAAGTTTATATGGTTACCATTTGTTTGGGTTTAATTCCAGGAGAGGGGAAACATAGTGAAGGAAATAAATATGCCAAAAGTGGAGATGGATAGGCAGAAGTATCCTTATATTGTGAGAGTCATTAATTGAGACCCTGCTATTGTGCTCCATCTGTCTCCTCTCTCGACCTTACGGCGTCTTTTTCTTTGAAGTGGGGTGATTGGCTGTGTAGAGTTATCTTCCCTGTCCCCAGACCAGAGAAAACTTTGTAGGTCTTAAAGGTGCCGCTGGACTCAAACTTTGTTCTTCTGCTTTAGACCAACACGGCTACCCCACCTGAATCTAAACTTCCAGCAGTCAGGCAGCTGTTAAGGATTATATCAAGTGAGATCACCAGTGGTCCATCTAGTTCAGAATCATCTGTTTTGACTGCCAGTTGCTCTCCAGGGTCTCAGATGGAAAAGGATTTTCCCCGACATCTGGAGAACTTTTAATAGGAGATAACAGAGGAAGGGGGATTGAACCTGAGATCTTCAGACTCAAAAGCAGGTCATAGAATCAGAGTTGAAATGGGTCCTACAGGCCATCTAGTCCAGATCGAGACCGCCTGGGCGGCGCGGCGCCAGCTCAGTGCAGGATCAGCCTCCGGTATCCCTGACAAGTGTTTGTCCAGCCACTGCTTAAAGACTGTCAGTGAGGGGGAGCTCACCACCTCCCTAGGCAGCCCATTCCACTGTTGAACAACTCTTACTGTAAGGAAGTTTCCCCTAATATCCAGCCAGTACCTTCCCGCCTTTAATTTAAACCCATGATTGTGAGTCCTGTCCTCTGCTGCCAACAGGAACCGCGCTCCCTGCCCTCCTCTAAGCGACAGCCCTTCAAATACTTCAAGAGAGCAATCATGCCCCCCCCTCAACCTCCTCTTCTCCAGACTGAACATTCCCAAGTCCCTCAGTCTTTCCTCATAGGGCTGGGTCTCCAGATGCTCTAAAGATGCTCAGTTGCTAAGCCAAAACCGGTGCCTGTCAGAAAATTGGCCTTGAATTACTCTAGCACTATAAGTGGCAAGTGCTGTCATTTCTGTCTTTCAGACACCCTGAGGACCGTGCTCTTAGATGGACAGGGCAGCTGGAGAATGGATCCAGAGATCTCTCTCATCTTCCAATGTACCTCCCCTTCGGGCATCTCCGAGTGTCAGGTCCGAGCTGAACTTTCCCCTCTGTATGACCGACATCAGTTGCCCGGGGACCGGGTCCAGATCGAGACTGCCTGGGCGGCGCGGCGCCAGCAGGAACCGTGGCTCTTCGACGGGGCCAAATTCCGCCTCCACTCGATCAAGCAGGAGGGAGGCCGCTTAGTCTTCCGCCTTGGCCTCACCTGCTACAAGGACTTTGTGGGCACCAATCTGGCCAGCCGGGTTGAGCAGCTGCGTCAGCAAGGGCACGAAGATTTCGGCAACAGCCAGGCCTACCTTGCCGACCCCCTGGGGGTGGGAGCCATGCTGCATACGGCGGACGATAAGTTTGTCTTCTTGCGGCGCAGTCTGTGTGTAGGAGAGGCGCCGGGGAAGGTCGACATTCCCGGAGGGCATCCTGAACCGCAGGTTGGTATTGTCCCGTGGCGGAGGGAGAGAATGGGGCAGACTCCTGTCATTGTCCAAAGCAGCAAAGGGAAATGAATTTAAAATATTGTGGAGCCTGCGGCAGAGAAATCAAAGTCCTACCTCCGTCACATGATCACACATGAAGCTGCCGTATACTGAATCAGACTATCGGCCCATCGGAGTCACTCTTGTCTACTCAGACTGGCAGCAGCTCTCCGGGGTTTCAGGCAGAGGTCTTTCCCATTAGTGGCTATCTCCTAGCTAGAGATGCCGGGGATTGGACCTGGGAGGAGAAGAGCAGGAGATTGGATTTATATCCCGCCCGTCACTCAGAGTCTCAGAGCGGCTTACCATCTCCTTTCCCTTCCCCTCCCCTGTGAGGTAGGTGGGGCTGAGAGAGCTCTTTTGAGAACTGCTCTTGAGAGAACTTGTGACTGACCCAAGGTCACACCAGCAGCTGCATGTGGAGGAGTGGGGGATCAAACCGAGTCCGCACTCCTAACCACTACGCCAAGCCAAGCAGGTGTTCTTCCACTGAGCCACAGCCACCTCCCCTTCTCTCTGGTTAACCTGGAACATCTAGTGGGAGTTCTCCTACATATGCCCAGAGGTCATTTCGGGGGGGATCGCGGGGGATCTCAGTTCCCCCGGGTGAGGTACGGGGGGCGGGGCACAAGACGAAGCCCTGCCCCCTGCTTCCGGCCACCCCGCTCCCGGCCCTCCTTCAGCCAGGAGGAGGCAGGAGAAGAGGGAGGGTAAGTTGCTTCCTCCCTTGCAAGGCTGGCGGTGGTGGCCGGGACCGTTGGGGGCGGGGTGTGTGGCCTTATGACACACTTCCGGTGATGTCAGGGGGTGTGGCATATGCTAATGAGTTATGCTAATGAGTTCCCCTAGCTCTTTTTCTACGAAACGACCCCTGCATATGCCCCATTGAAATCATGTGAGCTGTGTGTCAGATCTGGCTGTCTCCCACTCTGCCGCCCTTCATGGCACCCAAAATGGGGGAGGGGACAGAAGCTTGGGCTGCAGAACATGGAACTGACTCTCCCCATCCGGGGGCTCACTGCTTTTCAGGTCGTGACAGGAGACACCGCCTCGGAGGGACCCATCCGCCACCAGGACCTCCCTGGAGAGCTAGTGGTGAAAGAGCTGTTCTCCTCCGTGTTGCGGGAGATACAGGACGAGGTGTGGGGGTCCGGAGGATGGGGCTGGGCTGGTTTCTGGGTTTTCCTCCCTGGCTGCTGTCTGACCCAGCTTTTCCCTTCTAGGTTAACCTCCCTCCACCCACCCTGAGCTGCCCGGTATTACTCGGGATAGCTCGGAATGAGACCACGGGAGGCCGGGCCAGCGCCGAATTCTACGTCAGGTAGTGTGTAATTGCCATGGCTGCAGGGCTCAATCAATAAGGATGATGGGTTTTTGAAAAGTGTCCACAATAGAGAGCATGAGAAGGAGGATTGGATGTATACCCCACCCTTCACTACCTGAAGGAGTCTCAGAACAGTTTACAGTCACCTTCCCTTCCCCTCCCCCCACCCCGTGAGGTAGATGGGGCTGAGAGAGCTCTTTAGAGGACTGCTCTTGAGAGAACAGCTCTGAAATAACTGTAACTGACCCGAGGTCACACCAGCAGCTGCATGTGGAGGAGTGGGGGAATCAAACCTGGTTCTCCCAGATTAGAGTCCGTGCTCCTAACCACTACACCAAACTGACAGTAGATTTATTTATTGATTGCGTAGCAGATGTATTTGTTAATTTTCAGGGGGAAATGTTAAATATTTAGAGGAGGGGATGCCTCTTCTGGGAAAGTGTGCTGTAAAAGGTGTGGGGGTTATGTAAGAAGAGGCATTCTTTTCAGGGGGAAATGTTAAATATTTAGAGGAGGGGATGCCTCTTCGGAAAGTGGGTGCTGTAAAAGGTGTGGGGGTTATGTAAGAAGAGGCATTCCCCTCTTCTACAGGCGCGCTCGTTGCAACTTGCAGTATTTATG